AAAATCTTGCTCGGGGCCATAAACACGCTACATTTATCAAAACAGGACGTCGAGAATTATAATCCAAATTTTTTTGTGAATTTTTTAGTCAACTTTTCCAGAAAATCAATTTTTCAATGCTAGGAAAATTTGGAATTTTTTCGACCACTTAGGAAAGTACCTAGAGGGTTTTTTTTTGTTGTAGATTTTAACTTCCAGAAGTTCCCTTCGGTCACATTTTGTCGAAAATTTCTACTATTTTGCGGGAAACGCCCAACCAATAAAGGTAATTTTTTTGATTTTCCATGCTCTCGACTTACGAAAATTTTGACTCTTTTCGACCATTTTCACAAAATTAGCTAAAGAGATTTTTTTTAGACTACGATTCGGCATCATTTGGCAACTCTTTCAAAAGCCGTTTTTTTCTGCACTCAAAGAGATTGTTTTGGACTGTTTTCTAGATTTCAACTTCTGGAAGTTATATTCGGCCTTGTTATTGCGAACATTTCTAATGGTTTTCCAGAATCGCACAATGAAATAAGGCATTTTTTGGCTTTAAAAGAAAAATTCATTTTCAAACTGAATATATCCAAAATTTTGCTCTGGAAACATAAACAGGCTATATTGTTTGAATTAGTGTGTCGAGATCTTCGAAAATTACTTAAAGAGAGTTTTTTGTAGATTTCCATCTCGAAAACTACTTTTGGCCTCAATTGTTCGAAAATTCCTACTGTTTTTCCAGAATTACCCTACAAAAAATGCAATTTTTTGGATTAAAAAAAAATTCAAAACGAATTTTTCTAGAAATCTTGCTCCTGAACGATACATTTTTCCAATCAAGACGTCCAGAACTTTTTGTGTATTTTTATTCAACTTTTACAAAAAAACAATTTTTCAAAGTTCTCCATTAACGAAAATTTCGACTTTTTTCGATCGCCTTCGAAAATTACTTAAAGAGAGTTTGTTATAGATTTCGACTCCAGAGATTTGTTTCGGTCTCAATTCTTCGAAAATTCCTCTATTTTTCCAAAATTGCCCAAAGACAAGAGCCAATTTTTTGGATTAAAAAAAGGATTTTCAAATTAAATATTTCCAAAATCTTGCCTCGGGGGACGAACACGCTAGATTTATCAAAACAGGACGTCGAGAATTATATTCCAAATGTTTTTGAGGATTTTTAGTCAACTTTTCCAGAAAATCAGTTTTACAATGCTCTCCAATTCTTCGACCTCCAAAAGTTGCCACCTTTAGTCGAAAATTTCTACTATTTTATATTTCAATTGCTAGAAGTTACTTTCGCTCTTGTTATTTTGAAAAAAGTTTTTAAGGGTCCAAATAAAGCAATTTTTTTTTTGGATTTAAAAGAAAATTGGCTTTTAAACCGAATACTTCTAAAATCTTCCTCTGGAAACATAAACAGGCTGTATTTTTTGAATTAGTACGTCGAGATTCATATCCTAGAATTTCCTGGACTTTTTTCCAAAACATCAATTTTTCAGTGCTCCGCACTTAAGGTAATTTTGATCGTTTTTCGATCACCTAGGAAAGTATGCACCTAAAGAATATTTTTTTGTACATTTCGAACTCTAGATGTTGTTTTCGGCTTCTTTTCTTCCAAAATTCCTACTATTTTTTCAGAACCTCCCAACGAAAAAATCTATTTTTTTTGGACTTAAAAAACACATTTAAACCGAATATTTCCAAAACCTTGCTTAAGGGCCATGGATACACTATATTTATCGAAATTTATATCTCAGAATTTTTTGCGGATTTTTAGGCAACTTTTTTAAAACCTCAGTTTTTCTGTACTCCCTCCATTCTTTTGAAAATTTCCAACTTTTGTCAACCATCTTCGAAAATTACATAAGACATTGTTTTCCATTATTTTGTAGAAATTATTTTCGGCGTATTTCTTCAAAATCTACCATTAGTTTTGCAGAGTGATTGAAGGCAATTTTTTGGATTAAAAAAAATTGACTTTCAGAATAATATTCCAGAATTTTTTTGAGGATTTTTAGTCAACTTTTTTGTAGGTTTCGAACTCTACATGTTGTTTTCGGCTTCATTTCTTCCAAAATTCCTACTATTACGAATATTTCCAAAATCTTGCTTAACCCTGCGTTGGTCGCGCTATGAGCGATTCCCTCACATCGTTTTAATTTTTGTTAACAGACCTAATATTTTTCATTAAATTTTTTCGAGCTTTTTAGTAGCTTACTTTTTGTGTTTTTTAATTATTTTGGTTGTAGATTCATTAATTTTATTGTATTACGTTCTTTTTTGCAATTTGTTTCTCGAATGATTGTATTCTAGGTGAGCACCATTCTCACTGTGCGACCATCAATGTTGATATAAAGTTTTTAGATTTGTGTCAACATAACATGCAAATATTTCACGGCAAATGTGAAAACGTGAATATTTCAGTTCAGTTCAGCTTCAGGTATAATTGTTTTTATTTTTAATTTTATAGAAAACAACTATCACTATATTTTTTCACTTCTAAGCATTGGAGGGATAAACAGTCAATTAATTTATCAAGAGAATATAAACCGGATAATAAAACGACGAGTTTATCTTAAAACATTAGACATGGATTTAGTAAAGTCGCAGCAGATTAAGCGGCTAGAAAGAAATGTACCTGCTCAAATCAAAACTTCGATTAGGAAACAACTAGGAATTACAGAAACGCAAGTTGTGAGAATTGGTGAAAATGTCTTTTGCAGTTTTTGTCCTCGCAGGAAAAATAGAAAAACAAAAAGTAAATGCGATATGGAACAATGTGATACGCCCGTCTGTGGGAACACAAAAAAACTGTATGCGTTAGATGCTATGACAGTATTAACGCCGATTCAGAATAATTTGTTTTTGCTGGTAGCTACAATATTTGTTTATTTTTTATTCTCGTTTGTGTTCATGGATTTTCTGTTCAATAAAATGTTGTTCTGCACTCGTTTTTTTTACTGAAACTAATTTTGGTTCAAAAAAATCAGGTGTGAGCAAAACGCTCCCGCGCGACCACTGGTGAAAACATTTTAAGCGCGACTAACGCAGGGTTAATGGCCATGGATACATTATATTTATCGAAATTTATATCTCAGAATTTTTTGCGGATTTTTAGGCAATTTTTTTAAAACCTCAGTTTTTCTGTACTCCTTCCATTCCTTTGAAAATTTCGAACTTTTGTCATCCATTTTCCAAAATTACGTAAGACATTTTTTCGATTATTTTGTAGAAATTACTTTCGGCGTAATTTCTTCAAAAGTTGCCATTACTTTTCCAAACTGAATGGAGGCAATTTTTTGGATTTAAAAAAAATTGAATTTCAAATCCAATTTTTCTAAAACCTTGCCTCGGAACCCTTAACACGCTATATATTTTGAATTTACACGTCCAGACATATTCTAGAATTTTTTCCTGGATTTGTAGGCAACTTTTCCAAAAAATCAAATTTTCCGCTTTCGAACATTTGTTCCACCACCTTCGAAAATTACCTAAAGAGATTTTTTTGTAGATTTCGATCTCAGAAGTTACTTACGATTCATTTTTTCGAAAATTCCTACTATTTTGCCAGAGTCGCCCAATGAAATAAGGCAATTTTTTGGATAAAAAAAAAAACACTTTCAAAACGAATACTTCTAAAATCTTGCTCCAGAACCATAAACACGCTATATTTTTCAAATCAAGACGTTGAGATTTATACCCCAGAACTTTTTGTGGATTTTAGTCAACTTTCCGAAAATTTCGACTTTTTTCGAAAATTACTTAATGAGAGTTTTTTGTAGATTTCGACCTCGGAAACTATTTTTGGCCCCAAAAGGCAATTTTTTGGATTAAAAAAAAATTCAAACTGGATATTTCCAAAAGGAAAATACCTAACGAGATTTTTTTTGTAGATTTCGACCTCTACAAATTGCATTCGGCTTTATTTTTTCGAAAATTCCCACTATATTGTCAGAATTCCCAACGAAGAAAATGTATTTTTTGGACTTAAAAAAAATCTTTCCGAAATCTTGCTCCAGGGCTACAATTTTCAATCAATACGTCGAGATCTATATTGCAGAAATTTTTGCGGCTTTTTGGACATTTTTTCAGAACGTCAAAATTTCACTATGAAAGTATGGATCATTTTCAAAAATTACTTACTTTTGTTTTGGTATTTTTGCCAATAATTAAAAATTACACAACGCTTAAAATTGATTCTTTTTGATGAAACTTCTTATAAAAGAAAAACAAAAATTTTATAACTGTTTAAAGTTGTCTTCATGACGCTGTAATTAGTTGTTGTAGGTCTTGATGTTAAGAGTTTAATTGCATTTAAAAGGGGAAAAACGAAGTTTGTGGCGCTTAATAATGATAGCATGTTATTTACTACCATATATCATGTCGCTGGAGAATAAATTAGATCTTTTAATTTTGAATAAAAGGTTTATTTCATTTGAGCGGTAATTAACCACACAAGGGATTACGGGACATCAGGGAATTTAGGAACGAGTGTTGTAGTAGAAACACATTTCTGAAAGAAACTCCAAATTAAATCTAAAATGTAGTCACATACGTGACATTTTGTTCATTTTTATGTTGTCCTCCAAAGGACCAAATTTATTTTTTGTCTTTTGATTTATGATTAAAGCGGAATTTTAGTCTTTTGACTAAAGTAGCACTACATACAAAAAAAGTAATGAATTTTAAAATAATTGTTCTTACGTATAAATTATTGTCCGCTGGAGAAAAACTGCGAAACACGAAACTCCCTATTTAATGATAAATAAGTTTTTTAATCAAATTACGTACCTTCATTAATTAATAAACGCATTTGCTTGAAACGAAGCCCTTAATAATCTTATTATAAATAATGCAAAATATAAAAATATCCAATAGGTTTTATTTTGAAAAAAAAAAGTTCTTACCTTGCATATTTGTACGTAAATGTTATTTTAACCCCGAATATCGACATTCGCTGACAGCCCCTTGCCCTCCCCCTCACAAACAAAACCTGTTTTTCAGCAATAAATCCCCCAACATGTCCTGAATGATTTATTTCCATACATTACAAAACTGTACAAAAATGTAGCACGCGATGTGTACACTGTCCCACCCAGGAGCTCCACAGGTGCGTCAATTCGTCCTGTCAGGATAACAGCCAGACACGCACATTACGACGATCGATACGAAAAAATTCCATCGTGTCCTGCTATTAGTGGCCGTGCGTTCCGTGTATTGTTTTGAACTTTCTTGTTAGCAAGCGTCGGTTTTTCTGGGACCTCTGAAACAGGACGAAAGAAGGAGCGGATAATCAAATCAGAAAACTTCAAACTAACTTTGCTCTTGTTTATTTTCAATTTGTCTAAAATGTGTGTATCGGGCCGGAGCTCGATAAATGCCAATAAGTTTGTTACATACAAAAATCTTATAAAGTAGTTCCGGCGCGAGCTTTCGCCGGAAAGCTCCACGAACATAAGTTCAAGCGCTGATAAAACATAATCCACTTTTTTAGCGTTGTTGTGGCATTTGCGGCCGCAGATTCCTTCTAAATATGTTTTATGGGGCATTTGGATGTGGGAGATGTGGGTTCGGTTTTTGCGAAATGGGACTGCTTCCGAAATGCGTAATATCGGCGAATCGGGGATTTGGACTGCCAGAAGGAAGCGGGAGGAACGGGCTTGGAAATTTGGGGAAAATTACACATGTCAGAATGTTTGTGTGGAATGATAAAGTTGGATCAAATAAAAAAGACATGTGCGGGGGGTGGGGTTTTATGGACTAGGGAATTAGAAAAATATTGTTGGATGTGTCGCGCTTTCAGAGAGAGCAATTTTGTGGGGTAGTAGAAAGCTCAGTACTTTAGTGGTGCACAGGTCTGACAAATGTAAATTTTAAGTGAGTGATCTATCAAAGATATTACACGTATTGTTGATTAATATCACTTGTTACTACCTACATATCTAAAGCAGGGAAAGAAATGTTTTAAGATTTCCATTTGCATTCATTTTTCCTGCTAAGAGTAATTTTATTCGAAGAATTTTGTAGTTATTAAAATTACAAAATTGTTTCACATTCCAACTTGAAGTATTTAATCAGTTTTTATTAAAACAAATTTTGAAAATATTTATGCACTCGAAATCGTTTGTTCTCATACGCTAAATTTTAAAATCTGAATATTTTACGGGTTTCGAATTTTGTGAAGAATAGTTTTTCAGAATAAAAAAATATCTACGTGTGCGGCGTTTTATTAAATCTGCAGTTGTTTATATAAGCAAAAAAGTAGGGATTTTTTCAAAAAATTTTCGAAAACTGTTAAAACGGGCTTTATTAGAATTGAGAGTGTTGAATTTTTTGTAAAATATGATTCTAAAGATGTTTTTGCTATAAGCCTTCAAATAATTGAGAAAAAAAAATGAGATATATTTTCCAAATATTTTTCAAATTAAAAAGATTTGAATGGAAAAAGAAACAAGCCTGAACAGAATTTCTGGTAGATTGCAAATATGAAGTTCTGCATACAGACTAGCAAAATTGATAAAAGGTTTTTCAAACAAATTATTTTTCAAAAATATGTTAAAATGGGCTCTAGTCAAGTGGAAAAAATGATACAGTTTTAAAGAATATGCCCGTAAATTAATAATAAATTTGAAGTTATTTTTGCTGTAAATCTTCAAATCACTGATAAATAATAATTGAAAAGAGTTCCCAGAAATTTTCATTAAAAAAATGGAAAAAAATTACTCTAATTTTCCGAAAATGTTATACAGGGCATTCAAAAATGTTCAAAATATGCTAAAATGGACCCTATTGCAGTGGCAAAAAGGATTTAGTTATATAGAATTACTCGTACATCACGACTTTCAAGTCACTTTTACTGTAAATTTTCAAATAAATAACTGACAAAAATTCCCAAAAATTTTCCAAAAAATTGAGTGAATTATGAGTAACTGAAATTGTTAGCTCATAAAGTATTTTTCTCAGATTAAGAATCTCAATTTTGGTAAAATCCATCAAATAAAGAAAACATTGGACAAATTTTTCAAAACGAGGTCAAAAAGGAATTTTATTCGAATGGAAAAAAGGAAAAATTTTTACATAATTCCTTGTGCAAAATTTTTCTCAGATTAATATGACACTATTTTTCTGCAACTCTACATGAGCTCTATTATAGTGAAAAAGGGACACAGCTTTATAGAATTTGTCAGTAAAACAATAGTTAACAGTAATTAACTCAAATTTTTCGAAAATGTGCTAAAAATTTACAAAAATTTACAAAATAGGCTTTTTTATACAACCCTTCAAATATAAAAAAGTCGACAAATTTTCCAAAAGGAGGCTAAAACGGGCTTTATTCTAATAGAAAAATAATGGAAAAAAGAAAAGTTGATATAAAATTTCTTGTAGATTATGTATATGAAGTAATTTTTGCTACACCTCTGGACTCGAACAAGGAAAACTGGAAAAAAATTACTGAAATTTTCCGAAAATGTGCTAAAACTTTTTCAAAAATGTACAAAATATAGAATAGACTCTCAGGCTACTTTTATACCTTTCAAAAAAAAAAACTGGACAAATTGTCCAACACGAATTGCTACATCCTGTACTCAAAAAAGGAAAACTGGAAAAAAAATCCGAAAATGTGCTAGTTTTTTAAAAAATTCTTTTATTTGTGTTAAAATTGGCATTATTCTAGTTGTATAGAATTGCTAACCAGTTTTGCTGTAAATTTTCAAATAACTGATAAAAATGAAAAAAAAAAGATAAATACAGATTAAGAAATGCAACGGATTTTCGTAGCTTTTCAAATAAACAAAAAAAAATGGGGCAAATTTTCCAAAACGAGGTTAAAACAAATTGAAAAATGTAAAAATTTGTACAGAATTTCTTGTACACAATTTTTCGAAGATTTCAAATATGAAACCATTTTCTCTGCAACTCTATAGATGAACAAGGAAAATTGGGAAAATGATTTTCAAAAATGCTCCAAAAATATTATCAAATGGGCTCTACTACAGTGAAAAAGGTCAGCTTTATATAATTTGCCAGTAAATCTTCAAACAACTGACAAAAAGTAGAAAAAAGTTCCCAAAAATTTTCCAAAAAGAGGGTTAAAACAGGTTACATTTTTTCTATATTCTAAAGTACGAGTATTTCTTCAGATTTAGACTCTCTGTCAAGTCATTTTTATACAACCCTTTAAATAAACAAAACAAATTCGACACATTTTTCAAAACGATGTTAAAAAGGGCTTTATTCGAATGAACAAAAGAAAGGTTTTTACAAAATCTCCTATAGATTATGAATATGAAGTTATTTTTGCTACATCTCTGGACTCAAATAAGGAAAATTGCAAAAATATTACAGAAATTTTCCGAAAATGTGTCAAAAGTTTTTCAGAAATATTCAAAATATATTAAAATAGGTTCTATTCCAGTGGAATACAGGACCCAGTTTTATAGAATTACTCGTAAATTATGGATTTGAAGTCATTTTTGGTGTAAATTTTCAAATAACTGACAAAAGTGGAAAATATTTTCCAAAAATTTTCCAAAAAAATGTTATACCGGGCTATATTTGAGTAGCTGAACTTGGTGGCTCATAAAGTTTTTGACACTCAAATCATTTTTGCTACAGCTCTGGACTCAAAATAGAAAAACTAAAAGAATTACTGAAATTTCTCGAAAATGTGATAAATGTTTTTCAAAAATTTTCAAAATATGCTAAAATTGGCTCTATCGCAGTGACAAAAAGGACTCAGTTGTACAGATTTGCCCTTGCATCACGAATTTGAAGTCACTTTTCCTGTAAATTTTCAAATAAGTCACAAAAATTCCCAAAAATTTTCCAAAAAATTTTCTACATTTTAGTAGCTGAAATTGCTAGCTCATAGAATATTTTTCTCAGATTAAGAATACCAACTTTTTTATAATCCTTCAAATAAAAAAAAAATTGTGGCAAATGTTTCAAGACGAGGTTAAAAAGGACTTTATTCGACTGGAAAAAAGGAAAAATTTGTACAGAATTTCTTGTACAAAATTTTTCGCAAATTTCAAATATGAAACCACTTTTTCTGCAACTGTTTCTACATATAGATGAGCAAGGAAAATTGAGAAGATGATTTTCAAAAATGTTCCAAAAATATGATTAACTGGGTTCTACTGCAGTGAAAAAAGGACACGGATTTATAGAATTTTCCAAGATATCTTCAAATAACTGACATGTAGAAAAGGGTTCCCAAAAATTTGAATACATTTGAGCAACTGAATTTTCTATGTTGTAAAATGTTTTCTCAAATTTAGATTTTCTCGGAAGTCACTTTTATACAACCCTTCAAATAAACAAAAAAAATTCTACGAAAAATTCTTCAAAAAGAGGTTAAAAATGGCTTTATTTGAATGAACAAATGAAAAACATGTACAAAATTTTTGATAGGTTATGAATATGAAGTTAGTTTTGCTATATCTCTGAAGTCAAACAAGGAAAACTGGAAAAAACATTATACAAATTTTCCGAAAATGTGCCAAAAGGTTTTCAGAATTATTCAAAATATACTAAGATGGGTTCCATTCCAGTGGAAAAAAAGGATTCAGTTTTATCGAATTGGTCGTAAATTACGAATTTGAAGTCATTTTTGTTGTAAATTTTCAAATAATTGGCAAAAGGTGAAAAATTTGTCAAAAATTTTCCAAAAATGGGACAAATTTTCCAAAACGAGGTTAAAACAGGCCTGATTCGAATGGAAAAAAAGACAAGTTTGTACATAATTTAATGTAGATTATGATATGTGCAGTAATTTTTGCTACAGGTCTGCACTCAAATAAGGAATACTTGAAAAAAAATCCAAAAATGTGTTAAATATTTTTCAAAAATGTTCAGAATGTATTGCAAGAAGCTCTATTCCCGTAGAAAAAAATAAAATTGTATAGAATTGATCGTAGATTATGAATTTGAAGTCACTTCCGCTGTAAGTTTTCAAATAACTGACAAAAAGTGGGAAATAATTAAAAAAAAATTAAAGTATGCTTCATTAGTGGCCGAAATTGCTAACTCATAAAACATTTCGCTCAAATTTAATAAACAAAATTGGGACAAATTTTCGCAAACAACTTCATTCGAATGGAAAAAAGAAAATTTTGTGGAAATTTCTTGTAGATTATGAATAAGAAGTCATTTTTGTTACAGCAAGAGAAACTAGAAAAAAATACTAAAATTTTCCGAAAATGTCCTAAGTTTTTCAAAAATGCACAAAATAGACTCGCGAGTCACTTTTAAGCGACCCTT